CCATTAGATTAGTGAATGTTGGGAAGCTTTGCTGACATCAGTTATCCAATCTTTTTTAAACAAAAATCCTGTTTTTTAAATTTTCCTTGTATGCCTCTTTATTCCTCTCCTCTCTCAACACCTTTTATGAAAATCTGTCGGGAGTCACCCTGGTGTAAGGGACTCATATCTGATTTTTGTAGCTTTTGTATTGGAACTCATTTTCCCAATCTCCTTCTTACTTGAGTAGATGGGCATTGGATTGAGATACACATTTCTCTCCGGAAGATTGGAGTACGATGTTAGAGAATATGTGTGGTTGTACCAAATCATTCGCTGTACTAGAGATGGCGCTGAGACTCCTCAGTAGATGGTATTACACGCCCTCCAGATTGCAGAAAATATATCCTCAGATTTTGGATTTATGTTTTAGAGGTTGTCCCTCTAGTGGCTCATTGGTGCACATTTTCTGGTTCTGTGATAAAGCTCAACTGCTTTGGCATAAAATTTCTCAGATGACATCGACAATTGCTGGTTCCAACCTACAGCTAACTCTCCCAATGTGCCTCCTTTTTGCTCACATACCTGGGACAATGCACTGTGAGGAAAAATGTATTCACACTTTTTGTGTGGCCACTTCCTGGGCCATAGCATTGCATTAGAAATCCAAGAGGATTCCATTTTCTACCGTTATTTCTAGAATTGATTCTATTATGCTCCTGGAAAAATTTCTATATGTTTCACAAGGTCTTAAACTACCACTATTTTACTATAGATGGGATATATGGTATGCAAACATACAGCTGTTTCTGTCATAGCTGGTTGACTGTTATTATGTGTTTACAACACCTTTTTGTTCCTTGTTCTGATACAATATATCTCGATCTGCTAATATTGTGATTGTACTTACGATGTTTACTTTTTCTCATTGTATGTTTCTCCTATGCATGGAAATGAGTTGTTGGATATATGTCATTATGATACTGCTCTGGCTGAACCTACTTTATACTTTGAACATTTTGTATTCTTTGACTTTTTTATGGCCGTGTTATTTTTGTAATATTTTACTATTTTCAAACAATAGTTTGTAAACAAATTTTCCTTGTATGCAGTTGGTATGCAATTTCCTTACAAAATATCATTCAATTTGTGAACGTGTCAGTTCCTTTAGTAAATCAGGATCATTAGTCTGAAGTAAAAGAACATCTGATTTGCTGTTTTTTTTGTTTCTTTGTTACAAAAAATATATAATATAGTGTTTTTATTTCAATAATTTTTATTGAACATTTTTCAAAAATGTAACAGAAGACATTTGGTTCACTATAGAATGTATTCATACAATATAACTTTTGATAAGAAGTCACCCCACCTTTTGGCTGGGGTTAGAATTAGAGTTGCGGCATAAACATCAGAAGTAAACTTGGGGTTAAACTGAACCGTGGAGTGGAGTAGGAAGTAGTAAGGGGGTATTGAACAAGGGGAGGATAATAGGGAGGGGAGGGGTAATTATGGTGGGGTGGGAAGGAGTACCAGTCTGAAGTGGATGGGTAGATCGATTATATGTAAGGTATCAAATATAGTGTTTTTAGTGTCACATGTGTACATTGTATTGAATGTTTATTTATAAAATAACTTACATACATAAGTCTAGTGACATAACAGGTCCTTCTACTTGGACTGAGCAGTACTTAATGTCCATGGGCATAACAATAGGGGTTGTAGTGGCGACCCTGCTCATGCTCCAGAGGGCCTAGGCAGCAAGAGTAACAGGGACAGGAGGCGCTGCAGTGGCATTTACCCACTTCTCCTCCACTCCATTCCGCTGGCGCTGGCTTTGAGCTGCTGCAGGAAAGTACAGCTGATCAGTTATAGTAAATGCCACTGCTGCCCCTCCTGTCCGTGTTCCTCTTCCTGTCTAGCCCCCCTGTGTGCTCCCCAGTGGCGTGCAGTGCCAGCAAAAATTCCTCCATCTGCTGGTGCAATGGTTGCATTGGACTCAGCTTTTCACAGGCAATGTGCCCTTTTGCTTTTCCATCTGGATGCGTGCTTTGGGTCTCCCTTTCTTCTCCCTTCTCCTTCTCCTTCTCCCTCATGTTGTGAACAGTGCTGGATCCACATTGAGTACCTGCGGAATACAAGCTGCTGACACCAGCAAACCACTGCACTGTTCCAACCTGAGGATTCCTTCATTCACAGAAACTGGAATATATGAGATGTTGTAACTCGTCCATATGACATGTGAGTGCAATGGTTATTACTTTTCTTCATGAAATTAAGGTTTCCCCTAAGAGGTTTGGAAAGCTGTAGTCTTTTTTCAATTTTGTCTTCAATGGATCAGTCCTATACACTGACAGATAACAATTGCCTGAATCATCTGCCTTACATTTCTGCTACTCTATTACCGTGGGATTGATCCTCGTATGCATATAGTTACTCTTACTATGAACCCAGGTCCTGTGCAATTTATACATCAAGGTTTTTTGCTTTTAATTCACTGTCCAGTGCAGCTGAAGCTGTAGAGAAAGAGACTTGGCAATCTCTGGCCTCAGTCCCTTTCTCTCTATGAAATGAATGTGAGACAGCAGGGGTCTCTGTAGATCCCTGATATTTCAACAAAGTCCCCCAACAGGGGCTAAAAAATGTAAAAAAATTATAAATAAAAGTGTAAACAATGATAAAAAATAGGTGTAATAAAAAAAACTTCTGACACCATCCACTGCCCTACTAACACTGTTCCCTGCCCTTCTGACATGTCCAGTGCTCTACCGACTAACACCATCCACTGCCTTTCTGACACAATCTTATGCCCTATTGACACCATCCTACTGGTGTGTCCATTGCCCCTGTTCACTCTTAAGGTAGGCTAAGTTTATATTTTTACAGTGACATTTGTTTTATTATAACAGTAGTGGTGTGAACCTCCTGCACTCCCAAGTGTTTAAACTAAATAAAAAAATATATATATATAAATCCTAGGGGAAGCTGCTAACATTAAATCATATACCAGTGATTGTGATAAATAAATATAATAAAGAATGTAGCGCTACACCCAAAATATATATGCACATTTAAATATAAAATAAATATATATAAAAATTGTGAAATCACAAAATCTCATAAAAAAAATATATATAAAATGTGACAGTGATATCAATTTATTAGTGCCCATAAATCATACAATCAATAAAATAAATAGCTCAAAACAAGTGAAAAAAACATTTCCATATATATATGTATAAATCACGCATATATATATATATAATTATAATCACACGTGCCTCTTGTGAAGTGAAATGACCATAAAAATGGTACAAACAACAGTGTTCTCAAAGTCCAATCAATATTGCTGGTGACCAAAGAGAAAACGGTGCTTCCAATAACTACTGTTAGTGACCATATGTAAAACTTGTGCAGGTCTCTGAGTGAATATAAATCTGACAATCCGACCACCATCTGGATAAGCCTCTCACCTCATCCCTTTGACCCTTGCGGATCAAAGAGCAGTTGTGGATCCCCCTCACGGATCCTCCAAGCACAAAATCACTCCAAAGGTTGTTTTCTCAGAACTGAGTATTCCCACTCTGGCTCTTCTCCAGGAAAGTATTGCAGCATCAATCTCTGAGCTGCCTTCTCCCTCCTCTGCCTCTGTCTGTGTATGTCTGGACATACACAGAGGCTCTTCCTGGAGAAGAGCCAGAGTGGGAATACTTATTTCTGAGAGAACAACCTTTGGAGTGATAGTTTTTCTTGGAAGATCCGTGAGGGGATCCACAACTGCTCTTTGATCCGCAAGGGTCGAAGGGATGAGGTGAGAGGCTTATCCAGATGGTGGTCGGATTGTCAGATTTATATTCACTCAGAGACCTGCACGAGTTTTACCTATGGTCACTAACAGTAGTTATTGGAAGCACTGTTTTTCTCTTCGGTCACCAGCAATATTGATTGGACTTTGAGAGCACTGTTGTTTGTACCATTTTTATGGTCATTTCACTTCACAAGAGGCACGTGTGATTATAATTATATATATATGTATGCGTGATTTATACATATATATATGGAAATGTTTTTTTCACTTGTTTTGAGCTATTTATTTTATTGATTGTATGATTTATGGGCACTAATTAATTGATATCACTGTCACATTTATATATATATTTTTTATGAGATTTTGTGATTTCACAATTTTTATATATATATTTATTTTCTATTTAAATGTGCATATATATTTTGGGTGTAGCGCTACATTCTTTATTATATTTATTTGTTTTATTATGTTTCTAAGTTATTCTTACTATTTAGTCAGGACTTGCTTGCTAATTTCTTTTTTAAAAAAGGGGCCCAAACCATGGTGATGTTTGATCTCTTTCATGTTGTTTAGGTTTGGGCCCCTTTTTTATACTGTGGCGCTTTCTACATCACCCTGTGTAGGTGATTCAGTAACGTCAGAGGGCCCAGGCAGCCTGGAATTGTAGAAACTGCATAATGACACCCCGCTGACGTGACTTAGATGCTCACCATCATTCATAATGTAGCTTATATCATTTTAAATACTGTATACATAAACGGTAAATAAAAAAAATAATATACAGTGTATATATATATATATATATATATATATACATACATACACAGTGCATAACTGAGTACACCCCTTTTGAAAAAGTAAGATTTTAATCGATATCTCAATGAACACAAGTTGCAAACGTTTGACAAAACTGAGTGTTATAGAACATTTGTTTAGCTCATTACATGAAAGTAAGGTTAATGATATAACTTTGATTACAAAATCTTCAGTTTTGCTCAAATTAGTTGATGCAAAAATGAATACACCCCACAACAAAAACTACTACTAGTATTTTGTATGACCTCCATGATTTGTAAGGACAACACCAAGTCTTCTAGGCATAGAATGAACAAGTTGGCGACATATTGCAACATCTACAGTATCTTTTTCCATTCTTCAAGAACAACCTCTTTTAGAGCCTGAATGCTGGATGGAGAGTGATGCTCAACTTGTCTCTTCAGAATTCCCCATAGGTGTTCGTTTGGGTTCAAATCAGGAGACATACTTAGCCACTGAATCACTTTTACTTTGTTCTTCTTAAGAAATGCAACAGTGGCCTTAGATGTGTGTTTTGGACCATTGTCATGTTTGAAAAGTTCACAATGACTAAGGATCCTGTGATGGTAGTATCTTTTCTTTGAATATAGTGCAGTACATCTGTGAATTCATGATGCCATCAATGAAATGTAGCTCCCCCAACACCAGCAGCACTCATACAGCCCCACAGAAGAACACTGCCACCACCATGTTTCACTGTAGGCACCATGCATTTCTTTGTACTCTTCAAATTTGCAACGTCATACAGTTTTGAAGCCATTAGTTCCATTTATCTTGGTCTCATAACTCCAGAGTACAGAGTCCCAGTAGTCTTCTTTTTTCAGCATGGGCCCTGGAAAGTTCTAGGTGGGCTTTTTTGTGCAAGGGCTTTAGGAAAGGTTTCCTTGGTAGACAACACCCATGCATGCCATTCCTCTGCAATGTACACCATATTGTGTCATGGGAAACAATCACCCCAGTTTGGCTTTCTATTACTTTAGCTAACTGCAGTGATCTTGCATGGCGATTTTCTTCAACCCTTCTCATCAGAAGACACTCCTGTCGAGGTGTTAACTTCCGTAGATGGCCAGAACATCTTTTTGAGATGGTTGCAGTTCCATCTTTGTTAAATTTTTGTATCACTTTTGCTACAGTATTCTGACTGATAAGAAAATCTTTGTTGATCTTCTTGTAGCCTTCGCCTTTCTTGTGTAAAGACATTATTTTCTTTCTCAGGCCTTGTGACATTTCTCTTCCATGTGGTGCCATTGCTGACAGCATGAAATGGGAAGGGGTTTTCTTTGTTAAGTAACACCCTTTTAGAATTAACTGTCTGCTGTACACCTGTTTATTGAATAATTAGACTCACCTGTAGTTGAATTCTTGTTAATTAGGATTTTGTAGTCTAAAATTTAGCTTTGCTCTTAAGACTTTCATTGGAGTGTGTGACGGATGCGGGATCGCTGCCACCATTATGCGACGATCCCACGATCGCTGTCACCAATATGTGACGACCGCGGCATCAGACCCCAGCCCTTCTCACCAAACTTGTGACCGAAGGACTAGCCAATCTGAAAACCGCAATGTCATGTGCGTAACATTGCCACACCCAGCTGCACCCTGCACAACGATTTTCCAGCTATTTGGACCACAATCGATGTACCGGCAGCCTTTGAGCGATTGTTACTGGGTCAGGTTAATTACGCAATTACCCTTCACCTTGCCACTACCTCCTTTTTGTACAGAGAAAGAGGAAACTCGGCGATATCCACAATAACACTATAATGGTTGAGGTAATTGTCTTTATAACATGGTCACCGCAGGCCGGTTATAGAGAGGGTTAAACAAATACAGTATCGTTCTCTTTAGAGGCACGATTTCGTAAATTGTAATTAAGAGCTATAGAAACAGTTCAACACTTTCAGAAGGAAAGATTTATTACTGAAACGTCAAAAAGGGAGTGCAATAAAATATTTACAGAACAAAGATGTAACCAATATATATATATAAATATACAGAGAACAACAGCACAGCAAAGAGATAATAGAAAGGAGGTTAAGGGGTTAAAGTACTTGCCAAAGTCCTGGGTTAGCAGATCAAGTTTCAGAATTCTTCAACTTCCCTCTCTTAGGCCTGACAGCCCATTTTGTTGTTCCCCAGCAGGGGGTGTCTCTGAAGTCAAGGACCAATGCCTCATTTAGGGAGGGGTGGTCTGGGCGGATACCTCAGCTATAGCCAAAATCTCTCATACTCATATTTTGGCTCATAACTTTCCATATGCATAAATGACATTCCACCCGTGGGTAGATTATTATGCAGACACGTCTGAGGATTGATTAGATATTAATTATGAAATTATACACTGAATGGTTCTCGATATCTACTTTTCTGCTTTCCTATTTATTTGAGACAAGGAGAGTGACCCATCAAATTGTTCGTCTTCTCTTAGCCAATCTGACGATATGTCTGATTTTTATGTAAGTCTCTCATATTCCAAGATATGAGACATAGGGGAAAAATGGATTTTGAAAAGTGTTTATTAGATTCATGCTTTGTTGGAATGACTTGAACTCCTGGGAAAGCTTTGTTATCTTTTTTGAGGTGCTAAATTGTACAGCTCTGGCAGACAACCAAGCATTTCGCTCAGAAATGTTTTATAGCTCTGGGGTTCCCTGCTCTGCTCTGCCTGTGACACTTTTAACACACACGCACACTGCCATATGTCACTGTGCCTCTCAGAGAGGGAGGGGGGAAAGAATGAGGGGAGAAAATGGAGAGTCTTAACAAAATGGAGCCTGCCTCTGGTGCGCACGTTCGCGACATAGTGTATTTATTTTTGCAACATGGTCTTGAAAGAATTTGTTAGTAAAAATACTTTTTTGTGTGTGCAAATTACCAAATCTTGTTTGCAATCAACGGCCCGCATTTGTGGGAATATTTTGTAGTATAGTGTCCCATAGAAAATGTTGATTCCGAAAGGAAAGTAGAGGTTTTCTTACAAATATGTTGGGGTGTACTCATTTATACTGAGCACTGTATATATAGACCCCAAACCATAACAGCTCACTCTTTAATAAAATACCCTTTAGCATGTACGTAAATCCTAAACCCTATGGACAATGGCATTGAAGGCCTCATTTAGACTGTGAATGAGGGTATTTAGTCTGCTTCAAAGGCAGCTAAATACCACCTCTGGACACAGTAGCACTTTGTGCTATGAGCATATACAATCTGGCTGATTGGCTGTGGCCAATGTGTGCATGGCTGGATATGCTGTCCTGGATGCAAACTGTATTCATCCAGAGACTTTCACAGTCTCTTAGGGGAACATTACATGTGAACAGCAGTGGTGTCTACCACTGATTTGTACAGCATGGAGCTGTTCATCCATAGGCAAGAATCTGACAGCAGCCATGGGTGGATGCCCATATAAATGAGGAATAATTTGTTACTTTTTTGTCCTGCTAAATATACCATTGGAACAGTTTTTTTTATATATTTGGTGCATAAAATACTTGTTTATTTTGCCAAAAATCTTATGAGCTGATAACATGGGCTCTGTGTCTGTTCACAAGAATGGATTATGGAGATGAGGAAGGGGAAGAAGATGAGGACAGGTCTGTGTTCTTTGTAATCCATCAGAAATGAAGTCGGCAGTGCTGACATCACATACTTATGAATTCAGGAATGTGGTGTCATGTCAAAGAGGAAGATATGAGCTCACTATATTTTAGCATATTGTCGGTCTTTGTTTTGCACTTGCAACGTGTTTGAAGGTGTAAAACATGGGGGAATGTGCATGTATTGCATAGATGTACTACTGTTTTTGTTTCCATTTTTTTTACATACACTTTAAACTACTCCAGTTCCAACAGTCCAGGCCTTTGCAATGAAAGCTTTTGCACCCCTTCTGCTGTACTTCCTTGGATTTTTGTTTCCTTTCTGGTAAACATATCTCGTTAATAACAGGGTTGTTTAAACCATAATCGACCTGAATGTGTTTTTGCTTAGTGAAGCACTCACAGAGGGGGGCACCTGTATATACCATGCTATTTAGAGCTCACATAAAGGTAACATAAGAACAAAAAATACACAGCTTAAGGTTTTAAATTTTAACATAAAACATAACAATAGAGTTAAAGGTGAAATTGAAGGTTTCCTCATTTGTTCTTGTCTTTCCTTACACCATTATTTAGCTTGTCTTAAAATATCTAACCTGTGAACCTGGTTTTAAATAACTAGTACGTCACCTTCCAAGGTGAAGAAATTACTCAAATGCCACACCTGCCAGCGACACCATATAATGAAATATGTTCCTTGCCGCACTTCATAAGTTATCACTTGAGCTGCAAAAGGTGTAAAACATAAAGAACACTTGTAGACTCTAATTAGTCATATTGCTAGTCTTCATAATATTTCTAGGTAAGATATGTGTGAACACAATGAACATTTTATGCTTTTGTACAAATTAAATTTAGAACTTCCAAAGCAAAGGTGACATTTCCCATTGGTTTTCTGAATATCTTTCCTGGACAATATTACTTGAATAATGAATTGTTCATAAATGTTTTATTTCCATGCCATAAAGATGTCACCCTAGGAAGGATGAAATTGCCAAATACAATGCTCTCTTTGTACATGGCAGCATAACATTAGACCACTACTTTCTAGATCTAACAACTTCACAGTTCCTGGATTTTCTGTAAGGGTTATTGTGATCTCCTGTCAAATTGTCAAGCAGGTACTGTATATGTTAACAACATTGCAGAGACCTAGAGGTGTCTGCACATACCTGTAGCCTCCAAAACCTTGCTTTCATGACTGAATATAGGCACATCTAGATTGGAATCAGTCTATCACTAAAATATGTAACTTCACTGCATAGTAGGAGTGTGCAGGAAAGGAAGGAAATGCCAAAGCTTTGCCTGTCAGAAATACTTAGGATTTGGCCATGATGATGGTAAAGGAAGCTTTTTTTTCTAGGTGACTGAAGTTCATACTTGCAGAAATTTGCCTTAAGTATCCCAAGTCTCTTGGACATTAGGTTTGGCTCAAATCAAAGACATTAAGGGGAGATGTAATAAAACTAGAGCATGCAAAATGTGGGGCTGTTCTGCACAGAAACCAATCAGTTTCCAGATTTTATTGTCAAAGCTTAACTGAACAAGCTGAAGTGAAAAGCTGGTTGGCTACCGAGCACATCTGAACCAGATTCTGAATGCTCCTGTTTTTTTAAATCTCCCCACAAATTTGTTAAAGCATTGTGTATCATAAAAAAATGTTTTGTTTTTTGTTTTTTATCATTTGTTGTATTTCAGTTATGCTGATTAGCTGCAGGTTCTTTGCAGTCAAATCTTGTCTACATGTATACACTCCAGTCGTGGCTGAATGGCATTTCTCAGAGGGTTCCTTATGGTGACAACAGTGAACCATGTCTGTGCAAAGTGTGTTGAATCAGTCTCCACTGGGAACCCATGTGAGGTGGTGACAAGGACAATTACAACTAGGGGACTGGGACAGAGTGTTGTCACTCCATAACAGGAAGTGCCTGAAAAAAGAACGCTCATGGAGGATCATAAGGCAGTTAATTGAAAGCTGCAGATTTAAAAACAATCACAATGAGTTTTGAAAGGACTTCAGCCTGTTAGACTTCAAATAAGATTTGAATGATTAGGTTTACATACAGGTGAAACTCGAAAAATTAGAATATCGTGCAAAAGTTCATTTATTTCAGTAATGCAACTTAAAAGGTGAAACTAATATATGTGATAGACTCATTACATGCAAAGCAAGATAGTTCAAGCTGTGATTTGTCATAATTGTGATGATTATGGCTTACAGCTCATGAAAACCCCAAATCCACAATCTCAGAAAATTAGAATATTACATGCAATCAATAAAACAAGGATTGTACATAAAACAATACAGGACCTCTGAAAAGTATAAGCATGCATATGTACTCAGTACTTGGTTTGGGCCCCTTTTGCAGCAATTACTGCCTCTATGCGGCGTGGCATGGAATATATCAGCCTGTAGCACTGCTGAGGTG